GTCAGACACTACACATTGAGGACGAAATGCTTGGCCAGAACCCAGAATCTCAGAGGGCAGAAAGCAGTAGCCTCTTTGCGGCATGTGATGCCTCAGGGCTCTTGCTTACCCAAGGCCATCTTTCCTCGTCACAACCAGGTTTTCTTCCTCCTCACTCACCCCATTGTGTTGAAGTCATCGTCAGGAGGCACATAGTCTTCATCATCACTGGTCAGACCCAGCTCATTCCCGTAACACTGGTGGACAAAGTGCCAAAGCTCCTTTGGACAGAGAGGCTAAGGGGGGAGAGCAGAGAAGAGCACGCATTTCCACCTGAGTCCAGAGAGCTAAGGCATTCCTTCCCTTCACAAACCAAAATCGAAAAAGCTTATGCCACACACATTTCCTTCTCAAGTGTAACATTAATTCACAGGAATATAAGGTTTCTTTCCCTGAGCGTGGAAGCGAGAGATTCTGACAAAACCCCCGTTGCAAGGTGAAGGCCGTCCAACAGCCTCGCCTCTCCCAGACTGCAATGTTGCCCTAAAATCCAGCTTGGTTATTTTTCCATGCCATAATCTCATGTTAGTTAGAACACTCTCAGAAAGCCAACATGGACCCCAGATTTGGGAAGAGAGCTTTTTAAGTGCGTCCTGCCTATATTGCTCCAAATCTCACTTCTGTTTGCATTGACATTGAAACCAAGGGCACTGAATTCTGTTATGAACTTCGCAGAGCTGATTAAATTACAGCATATGGTAGCAATACAAGCCACCCGATGCAAAGCGATCCTTCTGCGTACTCAATACTGCCCTCAGTCCTAGTGCACGATTGCTTAGTGCTTCCAGCACGGTGTGAACCCAGCTCAGCCCACCTCCAAACTCAGAGTTCCCGGCTCTCGCTCCTGCAGGTATTGGATGGACTGTGGAGCTGCTGCTCGGATGGGACACGAGATCCCGGGGCCTCCGGCACAGCACGTGCTCATCCCTGCCTTATTTTAGACCCCAACCTACGGCACCCTGACCCCGCGCTCCCTGCACCTGCCATTGTTCTCATATGTTTCGAGCGACGCCCTGAGCACACGTTCCTCCCCTGTCCTGTCTTGAACTCTACCCTTTTGAAGCACAGACCTGCCAAGAGAGAGCTTTGCTCCTGGAGTCAGCTCCTAGCGCTGCGGTTTTTAACTAACTGCCTTCTTTCTGGCATGTTTCGCTTGGACTAAGGATCTCCCAAAGCCTCCTTCCTGCGGCAGACGCTCCCACACTTCTGCCGAGGCACAGACATGTGCAAGACACGTCTCTGCATAAAGGGAACGCCGTGCACAAGGAGGCACCTGCACCTGCAGTTATGTTCCCACTTGGCTTGAAAACATCCTCACTGTCTCTACATCCTTTTGCACATATAAATGAGACACAAGTGTTACGCTTCTGCATCAGTTCAACACTTCCCTGTCATCCCACCCCAACACTGAGGTGCTGTTCTCTGTACCTTGTCAAGGAGGGCATTCTGCCAGAGTCTGAACATCATCATGTACGTCCTGTCTCGGGCCCCAAAGGAAGTAAAAAAGTGCTGAATGGGAAGAGGTGGAGAGAAACATCAGTTCCGAAAAGGCCCAGAAAGGGGGAGAGGAAGAGACAGGCGTGTTTGGATCACTTTCCAGCCGCAGCTCAAAGCGGGACTGGACAAGCCAAACAGCACAGCTGCTCAGACTGCAGGACAGTAGCTAGCTCTCAGCTAGCTCAGGGTGCTGCTGCAGAGCCCAGCTCTACCCGCCCCACGCACAGGGCGGCTCGCGTTCGGCTGCACCTGAGGGCTGCAGAAGCTCTGCACCTCCCTTTCTCCCCTCGGTGCTTCCCTCCAGCCCCCAGGCACCACAAGCAGGCGACGTGGAACCAGCCCCCAGAGGCAGCTAAACACACTCCACACTCCCCTGCCCCTGAAATCCGCACAGAGGCCCCCGACGTGGAGGATTCAAGGGAATACCTTTTCAGTGTCAGTGCAAACTTGGATGGCATTAGGAATGAGCCGTGCTGTTTTTTCCTTGGTCATCGAGCAGATATCCTTCAAGCGGACTGTCAGCTACAGTCACAGCCATGCAGAGAGGGGAAGGGAGAAAATGGAAGCAGGTAGAGAGAGACACGGATGAGAAATGCAATGGAAAGAGGGCTTTTAAGGTTGCCAGCAACTCTGCTGACAGAAAACAAATGCTCAGTGGGACAGTGTGAGAGCCTCACCAGCGTTTCCCAGCGGAAGATGTTGCTGTAAAAGCAGATCCAGTTTTCGGAGAGGTAGAGGCGGCCCTGCAGGAGAATGTCTCTCTGAAGCGCGCATGAGTAATCTGTGGGCAGAGAACATGATAATTAAGGAGAATCAGCAATCAGGCAGGACAGCCTAAGGGCGAGGACGAGCAGCAGCACCAAGAGAAGAAGCTACTTGGCACAATCCTGCAGAAAGCCAAAAGCAGAGCGGGAAGGTGCTGGGCCACGTGTGCTGCTCTATCCTCTAGTCCGGGATTCCTCCCAGGACACACCACAGGCGAGCTGTCTTGCCCACTGACTATCTGCAGGGCATCCTCCAGAATATTTTCAGATTTTAACCTGTGTTTTCCCTGTCACTTTCTTGCGCCATTTTTCATCTCTCCCCATTTAAGCATCCTCAACCATTTGTGTTCCTCTCCCATGTGCATCTTTGCGCGGCACGAAACATGCCATGAGATCAGCGGTTACATAAAGGAACAGATGCAGTGCCCTGGGCAGTCACTAGTCTGTGGCATCCATGGATGCGGGGAGGACAGACACGTGTGGTAGGGAGCCCGGGCATATAGGGAAACCCATCAACAACAGCACGGAGGGCGACTGTCCACAAGAAAGCAGTACTGGCTACTTCCTTGGCACAAGCTCCTTGAAGGGAAAGAAGCTGCACGCCCCGGAGCGGGGCTGCCCCCGGGCACTGCGGCAGCACGGGACCGGCCTTACCTACGATGAGACGCTCTGTGTCAGGAAGCTGCTTGAAGAGTTTCCTGAAATCTTCGTTCCGTTGTTTGTATGTGGGGCTCAACACCTGTAAATAACAGAATGCCTGTTAAGAGAGGGGCAGGCATGAGTATGGAGAAACGGAGCGGGAGAACAGGAGCACCTTGGCAAGGAGGAAGGGGATCAGATGCACTTACAAAGCGTGAGGCCAGGAGCTCCCATCCCAGCAGACATATGGATGGGAGGATTTGGGATTTAGCGCATTAAGTGAGAGGAAGAGGAGAACCTGCCTGGTCAGGAAAGAGCGAGAACAGAGCAGAAGGGCTTTGCCTGGCGGGCAGCAACACGAAACAGCCGGTGGCAGCGGGAGGAGCTGCCCTCCCTGCCGGGGCAGCCCCACAGCCGCGGCGGCGCCGCTCCCCACCAGGGCAGGAGCCCCGATGACGAAGGGGAGCCAAGGTGCCTGCAGCGCCCGCTCTCCCGCTCCTGCGGCCAGGCCTGCACCTCCCGGCACACAAGGAGGACGTTTCCCCTGCACGACCCTCACAACCGCGCTGAGCACACAGCAGCGGCGCTGCTGGGGCCGCAGCACGGCGGGTATTTAGCATTAGCCTTGCAATATTTTCAAATGCTGTCAAATGGAAGAAGGAAACACAGACCCCCTCCCACTACCACACAGAAACCAATGCCTTCCTTGCTCCAATACAGTAAACCAGAAACTCTCCCTTGAAGTCTGGCTGCACTCCATGGTCCACATTTTAATAAGATTCATTAATAAATCTGTATTTTTCAATAGCTCAGCACTTCAGATATTTCCTCCATGCTTTGGGCCCAAAAGGTGGTGTTTCACTTCTGAATAAAACACGCAAACTAACAGATAGAAGAAACACATTTTTACACAGCAAAGATCGTGCCTGAACATCAGGTAAGAGACCTTGGCCAGAGATGGGCTCCAGCAAGAGCCCAAGCCCAGTATTTCCTGGGGCAGGCAGAGAGGATTGGAATGGAGGGGGAACAGAGATCCTCGTCAGACCTGAGCTTTGGGTTCAGTGCCTCACAGCAAGCACCCTTAGCAGAGCGGCTGCCGTGGCCAGGGATGCTCCACATCCTCCCCTGCATCCTGACCTGTCCAAAACCTGCATCCTACCAGACCCTCCAGTTCAGCACCAGAACCTCGGTTACAAACGGCTCAGTTCAGAGACACTCACAGCTGGAATTTCATCTGATCCACGGCTGATACGTTCGTGGGACACATCGAGAAGCCCCTCCAGGTCCCGGGGAAGGCTCGGGAATTTCTGGTGCAGCGCAAGATCCCAGAGAGCCCCGCACTCCAGCAGGGAGTCCATGGCGTTCCCTCCGCACCGCACAGACCCCCGCGCTCTCGGTCAAACCCTGCTTTTCCTCTTCCTGCTGTCACTGTCCTTGTTCGGATCCAGCGGAGCCTGGCAGGAGCGCACGTGCCGTCTCCTGGGGCGCCTCTGCGGAGCCGGGCGAGCGCGCGGCGGCGGCGGCGCCTTGG